GAAACGAATTTGGGAATTTGGGAAAACATCAAAGAACACAGTTCCCATGAAGCCTTCCATGCATAAAAAAAAGGCACAGAATATTATCACACAGGTTATTGGTGGCAGGGAATAGGAAAAATTCAAGAAGACAGAATGATTGTGAGAATGAATTGACTCAAAGCTGATCCTAATCCAAAAACCTTTCAGTGTCTTGAAAGAAACCAACTGCTGAAACCTATATTTCTTATTGTACCAAGAGGAGAAATAGTTAAGTGTTTTTTAAGCGAGAAGCTCTGATCAATCTAGCTCCATGTAAGCTCTATTTTCTCCCCTGTAAAATAAGAGAAGTAGATGATAATAGCTGACTAGCAAATAAAAATTACCAGTTTGTGTGTTGTCTCTGGCAGAGGTGTACTGAATAACCTTGAAGAAGGCATCTCATCTCCAGGCTGAGAGATGCAGTATTTATTCCTAGAGTATACACTTCTTATACAGCTGGTTGACAGATGTCACGAACATTTTTTTGTTCCATATTTGACTGATCGGTTTCTCTAGTTATTTCTCCACTCTTCTGAGGTTTCACTGTTGTCTGTGAGCTCTGTTGCAGAGGGTATATAGGTATTTCTTTGGTTAAGCCCTTTCAAGACTTCACCTTTCAGTGGAAAGCTCAAATAGATCATAAAATATTGTCAATGCTAATTCTGTAGTCTGTTAAGCATAAATTATCTGCAAATTTGTCCATTAATTTGTATATAAAACTTTATTATATGCTATGCAGAGTAATAGATTTTAATTTTTTCAACAGAAATAATATTTTCCACAGAGGCAGTCTCTGTCAATTTAATTGAATTTTCATGTTTTCTGAGTCTCATATTTGCATTTTAGTTGAAGAGATAAAACTATGTTACTGTCCAAAACCTGCTGAAGAGTATATGAAATGTCTCAGATCATTATTTACTATTGAGGTTCAACTTTGCTATGCTTAATACACAAAAGACAAAGATAAGGAATTTCTGTACGTTTCAAGAAGAGTAATTCTAGGTCTTTTAATTAAATCAGTCTGTAGTGGGTATATCCTCCAAAACTGCTTGGGAGGGCTTCCACAGGTTAGGAACTGAACTAACTGAATTTTTTTGGAGGCAGAGAAAGGCAGTGAAGCAGCAGAGAACTCTGTGAAACCAATTGGCAGTGAGCCATCTGTTAAGCAACTGCAACTACGTCAAAGATATCCAAAAATACATCAGTTGGTTTGGGAACATAATGCCCTAACTCCAATAAAAAGACACTTTGTAAACAATCAAAAATGTGCTTTAAAAGCAATTGCATTTAGTTATATAGCAATTAAATATAAGAAGTACTGCTCTCATAGACATTGTTAGTAAATCCTAAATAATTAAATTGTCTGTCCCTACTTCTCCTCTCTGGAGTAGAAACTAGTATTTTATTTCAGCCCCATTGTCTCTCTCTGTGGTTTCCCCACAGCCTGACAGTTCTGTCAAGTCCTGTCTTTCTTTTTGCTTCTCCTGAGTTTTTCCCTCGTGTATTGTCTGTCCAAGCCACCTTGTGCAGTCGTATTTTGTAGAACTGTGGAATGGGTTGAAAGGGACCTTTAAAAATCATCTGGTTACAGCCCCACCCTGCTATTTTCCATGCTGCTCACTTCATTCATTTGCCCTCACTTTACTCTCATTTCTGCCCTTCTGACAACCCTGCTGCTTGGACTTCCTCTCTGCAATTCTGCCTTTTCACTTTAGTTTTCTTCTTCCCATGTTCCCTTCTCTCATCTAAACTACAGAACTTGCCTTTCTTTGCAACCTCCAAACTGGACTTCCTGTGTCTCTCCTGAACTCTTGTATTACCTTCAAGTACTTTTGTGTCTGTGGAAACCTTCTCTTCCACCTTCCTCTTGTATGCATCTATCTTCTTTGCACTACCACCTTATGCACGAGAAACTGGCAAAACTTCATTGCTGTTATTTTAGTATTTTATGCAATTTTACTCCAGTATTTTCCACTTACTTTTTGTATAGTTAGCCTCAGGTTTGGGAATCAGTGTATAGCTTCAGTCCTGATTAAGGCATCAGTGTGAGAGCTCTGAATACCATTCTTTTTTCCTACTTTTGCTCAACAGTGTCATCATCACTGTTGTAAGAGAGCCAGGGGCAACAGCCTTGATCTGTGATTCATTCTGTGCCAATACTATGGCCCCCTGCAGCAGGCAGCAGCTGGTGGATGGTGAAACTACCAACAATAATATTGCCCATGAAACAAGGTTGAAGAGTCTTATTTTAGCCTTGCTAGAGTACTGGTAAAATGTGAAGGTGCTGAGTCACTAATTCCTTAATAGTTTCCATGCAGGCAGATGTTGGTACCAGACAGGTAACTCCTGAACTGGACACAGATGAACATCTAGGTTTGTCATCTACTCTCCCTTCAAACCAGAAAGAAGTATTAGAAAACCTGGCCACCAGCACTTTGGTACCTGGTTAGGTGAAACAAAGAGTTGTTACAGATAGCCACAAAGTATCTGCAAATCATTGCATCACTGCTGATTTCATTCATGTATGCATAGCTGATACAGAACATGCTTCCCAGTGTGATGGTGATTTCAGTTTCTGTACGCCGCACATTTTAAGGCATGTTATTTGACTATCCAATGTCTGATTTCAAGAGCAGATGTCACTGTAAAAGTGGTTTACTTAGCAGCAGCCTTTTTTGGTTGCATCCATCCAGTCAGGCTTCAAATATAAAAACCAAAAGCATTCTCTTTTGCAGAGGTCTCTGCCTGTAGTAATAAATGTAAGCATACATTTTTTTGAAACAAGTATTTTTAGAAACTTCTGTTGAAGACTGTACTGCTGTTTGGACTTTCTGCCCTTTCAGATTTTGTTGCTTAGTCTATACATTTTTAATAATCACATTGCCTGCTAGCAGTGACATTTTGTGAAGGTCATTTTTCTTGTGAAGTTGGAGAATGGACTTGAATTTCATTGAGGAACTCCCTGAGCTGCAGGATCATTGTTTATGGAACTCTTGCATCTTGTACTACCTTTTAAGCCTGTTTAGAATTTTAACTAATGATATCTTCAAAGTGTCACTGTGCTCAAGGGCAAAAAATAAATCTCAAAATGCACTTTGAATAGCTTTGAAGCATGGTATTAGCTGAAAGTAAAAGTCATAGATATAGACTTGCTATGTATGCACACACAGAGAATTATGTGTTTCACCAACTTTTTCATTGTCAGCAAAGCATCTCTTCACCATTGCAATACCTTTTTCTTCTATATTATGAAAATAATAAGGTCTATGGATAGTCTTAAGAATTTTTTATGTGATTGATAATTTAATACCTCAGCAGGTATCTTAATATAATCTCCCTCCATGTAGAGGTTTTAGTTTTGTCTACATCATTCAAAGCTCACTTCTTCTCATTTCCTGTGCAGAAACACAGTCACTGGGTTATATTTATATGCTTTTCTGTTTCTGGGTACAGGATGGCAGGTACTAATACCAACATGCTGTGTTTCAAATAAAAGAGACTGGTTTCAGCTACTGAATTAAACCAAATTTTTGGCTTCCCACAACTGAGCACATAACCAGTTTGCTTATTACTAAAATACATGAAGATTTATGTTGTATCTGTGTCTGATGTCTTCTGATACTGACAAATTCCTTTAAAACATGTTAAATTATAGTGGCAGTGTTGAAAATATGGTCTCCTGAATATCTGTAGTCTCCAGATACCTGTTCTATTTATTGTTTCCTGTAAGTGTTTTAACTGTATAACTAGTATAGGACTCCTTGATCTTTCTTATAGGGATAGCATTGAGTTAATTGTTTCATTTTCCTTCCCTAGGACTGTGTTTTTATATTTGTCAACTAAGAGCTTACAAAAATGCAAGGATGTGATTTATAATTTAATCTTTCCCACAAATTAATTTGTCTGGGTTTTTTTCATTGTATTATTTTGCTATATCAAATTGCCAAGAAGATTTAGCTTATTCAGTGTCCTTATATTTAAGATGTCCTTTTCTATTTCTGTTTTGATAGTTGTACAATCAAAGCATTGGAGTTTGGCTAGATGTTTTACCATGGATTTCACAGTTTTATGACCATTGCTAAGAGTTGTGTCAAGTAAATTAGAATCTTGTTTCAGAACATGAAACAATATGATCCAATGAACAGCAACTACTGTGGGGAAAACGAAGTGAGGGTAGGACTGTAACCTCTCTTTAAAGTGGTGTGCCCTAGCTAAAGTTAGAGGTTGGGAGATGGGACGGATTGTGTGTTTGAGAAAATTTGTGTTAACAAGTAAGGACAGAAGGTTGCGCATGATTTTCCATCTGATTCCTTGTGTGGAAAAAGGACTAAAAAGGCAAGAATTTTCAGACTCTGCTCCCAGACTTCTCAATGCCCACTGCATATGGACTGCTTGTGAATAAAAGCCATCAGCCTGTTTGGAACTGCTGTTTTGCTGACATGATCAAAAGGGAAGGCCTCAGCCTCTGGCCATGATCATTACCATTTTACTCTTTTCCTGCCTGCCTGCTACATGGGCTTCCCTTTGCAAACTTTTTTTTCTGTCTTCTGTGCAGGCTGAATCACCCTTCTCATGCCTGGGAAAATCTCAACATGAAAATGCACGAGATTGATGAGGAACAGAAGGCAGTTACATTTGGTCTTTTCTTTGCTTATTCTCAAACATTTTTTTCCTTTCTGTTTGAGGCAATTGTTATTTCTGTAGTGTTGGTTAACAGTTTCTTTATTTATAGAGTCCTGACTTTTATAGTTTTCTGTAGGAGTCTTCACAGTGCAGCTAACAGTCCTTCTTCCCAACTCCTTGTCTTTCCATACAACCATGAGAAAGTTATTTAACGTATTTCAGTGTTGAGAATTTAGCAACAACATTTCTTGGCAGAAAAAAACAAGGACATATTCTTACCCAATTTTTAGCTGATTTCATATTTTTCTTGTCCCTAGACTTTATCACTCACTTTGCTATTTAATCTTTGATTGCAGGCCACTAAAGAAGTAATAGAGCGAGAAGCCCCAGGGATGGCCCTGGCAATGCTGATGGGATCACTTAATGTTACTCCTCTGGGCATGCTCTCTAGGTAAGACGATTCCTTCAAAATGTAAGATGAACTCTTTCCTTAGAAATGCACATTGTCATCCAATGACTATGCAGAAATTACTGAAGATTACCATTGTTATCAAGACTAAAAGTCTTAGATTCAGAGAAGTGGCCCAATTCCAAGAATTATAATTGCATTCTTATTTAATTCCCTTTGTTGTCTCTATTAGACACTGTATCCTCCTGTATTTTCTGTGCTAGGTTATTTGTAACATTGATGCACACTGTTAAATAGTTGTCTTTTCATTCTAGAGGCATAGCATTTTGATGCTGAGTGAACGATTCTTCTGTTCATCAAGCACTGAAATACTTTGGCAAAAATACACCACCTTTAATAGAGATAAATGTATTGTTTTGATATTGCATTTATTCTAGTATCAGCAACATCTCTCTCAAGAAGTTAAATGGTATTTTATCCCATGCTTAAACTGAGTATTTCCTAATATGTAATTAGTAACTGCATCTCTGTTGTTTCAGTTTTTATCAGTGACATCTCTTACTCTGTTTTTTTTTCTGGAATTCAGTCAATTTGCCTCATTTTACCTATGATAGACAGTAATATCAATACCTTTCATAGGTTAATTTGTACTTGTACCTTATTTCAAGGTAATTTAAAAACAATGGCTGTTACAGGTTTTTGATTTCTCATATAATGAGGGTATAACAAGAAAATAAGTATATAAGAAATAAAGAATGGTGGCTGAAAGGGTGTTGTAATGGTAGTAGAACCAAAATGCTGGATTGCATCCTGATTCTTCTGTACATATACACAGAAAATGGCCCTTAAACTACAGCCACTTTCAGTAGTAATTAATTGCAATGATGAAAGACAACATTGCAAAGATGATGCATGCAATACTCTTGGGCCTTAAAAAATTTCCAGTGAACAGGCCTAAAAGCAATCAGCATGCAAAAGGCCATTATTTTTATAACAGATCATAAAGTTAAGTACACAAAATTACAATATTATGGTTTCTTCTGCGGTCTCAGTTCTGCATGAATTCACATGTAGATTATGATTGCAATTTTTGTAGAATTCTTCTGCAAATGCTGAAGATGGGGGAAACAAACTTTTCTTATTATTGTCCTATGTGTAATATTATATGGATATTGGTGCTCTATATTCAGAATCCTCTCTAAATGCAGGTTCGCTTTCTCTGGGATTTTTTTTACATCAATTGTTATTTGAAGATACAAATTTTTAGTATATTTTCATATATTTTCTGCAAATTGTGGTAGGTTTGTAATCCCCTCTTACAATGCAAACTCAGGCACACATTAAGAGAGGTCAAAAACTTACTACTAATTTTAGGTATACAGTTTGAGAAATGTAGATTCTAATTTTTCAAAGTATTTAACATTAAACTTTTCTCTCACTGACTTCATTTTGAAATGAATTCTTGGTGGGTAATTTTACATGTAATTTATTTGACTTTTCAAAAAAAACCAAAAAATGCAACTTTAAGAGGACACTTCTATAAATCACCTGCAGATCTGGAAATTTTAGATCAGTCTTGAATTTTATCACATTAACTTTTAAAAATTCTTACAAGTTACAGGCTCTCTTCCTGCCTATGGGCCAGCATTGGGAAATTATTTTGTAGGCTGGGTTCAGAGATAGTTAATGCTAATGAGGGGCAGTGACACTCCCATTCTCAGTTCACGTTCAGACCCAGGATCCAACAGAGAGTGTCTTAGAGTGTCGTAGACCTTTTAATGTGTTTCCTGAAATTATTTCAGTTTCTTCTCCGTGACCTTCTGAAACTGTCCTTATCCCAAAATTATCTCTTCCCTTCACCTGATTCCTTGCCTGTCAAGTCCCTGTGCCGTGCCAGTCTTTATGAGGACTTTAAAAAACACTCTCTGTGTTCCCTTGTCCATTTATTCGCCTTTTACTAGTATATTTTCTTCCCAGGAAGATCATGGGTTTTTCTCCCAAGGAGGAGTTCTTCAATTCCTGCTTGTGCATCAGACCTGCATTTCTTTTCTCCCACATCCAGGTTTTCTTTCCGTTCTCTTGTTTCTATTTGTATTCTTTTTTTCTCAGGCTTCTTTAGTTTTTCTTAAAATTTCCGTCCACTGCATCACAAGGCTGAGAATTATATGAGATCCACATCATCCACCTCAACTGTTCTACATTTGAAGGAATATCATTAATTTATTTCTCAAAGTACACAGAATGCATGCACATTTAGTATGCTTTTGTTGTGAGCACACAGAGTACTTTTTGCAAGCCAAGCAGTTCTTAGGTACTTTTCCTTACTTTTACGTTCTCTCTTGAGAAATTTTTGGCAGCTCCATTTCTTTCTTGAGCCACTAGATCTGGTTCCTGGCAGCTGAAAACTTGTAGTTTTCATGAGAAAGGCTGCTGGTTTAGTCCTTTTTTTATTACTGGTTCATTGTACTGGTCATTTGGTTTATAATGTTAAAAATTATTTAAAGAGCCAAGTGGAAGACTATTAAAGGAGCTATCTGCCAAACACAATTCCACCATTCATTTTTACTCCTTTCTGGACAAGTCCTATTTCCTTTGTTTTGAGTATGTCATAAACTGTAACCCGTGTATGGGATTTGATAGAGTGAGTTTGTACTCTGTAAAACTTGTCTACTGCAACAAGAGTAAATGGACACTTTGCTTTAGCTCAGGCTCTTCATCTTTGTGCTGCAGTAGAGCATTCCTCAGCTACCTGTAAATCTTTCTTAACTGAGGGTACATAGTGTTAAAGAAGTGAATATGAGAAAGCAGAGGCTAGATGCCAGGCGGTGTTCAAACTTCCAGTTGAAAACAAGACCTCTTCAGTCTAACTTGACTGTGATATCAAAAGTTCATTTTGTGGCACAAAAATGTTCTATTTACTTGTGAGCATTATGACATCTGTCACGGGAATATTTAATACCCTGCTAAAAAATGCCATGATTCCAGTAATTGACATTAATCACGGAGAATTATTTGTGTAAGAAGAAATCCAGGAAGTTGGCTACTCCACAAACCATGTCCTTTGTCTCAATTTTTGGTAATGCCATAACTAGAAATTATTTTCTTTCCTGTTCTATGTTCACTTGTTGGTTTTGTTTGATAAAGAGATTGCTACAGATTTTCTGTGAACTGTAACCTCCCAATCTTTGTGGTTTGTTTTTCTCCTTTTACTTTTTTCTTAACCTTATATCCCAGCCCTGGGTTTTTAACTGATAGTTTCATAAACAGTGGAATCTTTACAACCTTAAGACAAAATTCAGAAATTTTAATTATTTTTCCTTTAAAAATATTTACATAAAATGTTGAAGATTCAAGCTCTAAACAACAGAAAGCATTCAGCACTTGGGTGTTGAAATTCAGCCCTGCATCAACACCAAAGGAATTCCCTAAAGTAAAACAAATTCTTCCATCTTTGAGACTCAGTTTTGTCTTTTCTTGAGGGGGAAGGAAAGACTGTCAAAAAAGAATTAGATGAGAATTGTCTAAGTACAATTTCCACTTGAGAATTACTTCCCCTTCTGCTTTTCTTACATTGCTTTTTTAAACAAAAAAAGACATATTTGAATTAATGCAACAAGCATGACTTGAGCCAGGGATGTTTGACACCATCAATTACATTGCAAAGGAACCATATGTGTGATCAAATAGGGAATATATCAAATAATTTATTGGATGCAAGTAAACAATAGAATTAAGGGAGCTAGACAGATCTAAATAAAGATGGAAATATAGCCACTGTTTATACTATCAATTAAAGGTTAGACCCAGTCAGCCATGTTTGGGGTTTTTTTCAGCTCAGCTTCTCCTCAGTTGTTTTATGAAAACATAATCAGCAAATATATTGGAAATTGTGCTTACAAAATCTGATAATTCATAGAAATTGTCTTAAATGCTTTGGGGGTTATTTGGCAGTGGAAAAAGTTGCATGCAAGAATTTCAGTCTGTTTCTTTCTTTTCAGACCTGTATGTGGAATCAGAGGGAAAACTCTCATAATTAATCTGCCAGGTAGCAAGAAAGGGTCACAGGTAAGAAGTGTTCTTACTGCTCTGCTGGTGAGGAGCCATGATGAGTACTTTCCATTCTTCTGAACATTCCCAATTTTGATCAAAGCGGGGGGGAAGGAACATAATTTCTAAGAGTTTGAGGAATTTTAAAATTTTCTCGATATGGGGATCAGAGTTTGTGTTCTTCCTGCATTTTGCTCAGTTTGGACAGAGAAGTTAGGCTTTATCATAGAATCACAGAATCAACAAGATTAGAAGAGACCTCAAAGATAATCGAGTCCAACCCTACGGTCGTTACTAGACCATGGCACTAAGTGCCACATCTGGTCTCATCTTGAAAACCTCCAGGGGTGGTGAATGCTTTGTTTTTATTCATGCTTTAATTCTGACTGTATGGCTGAGATTAGACATCAGCAG